CTTGTTGGGAGATTGCTAAGAAACTCCCAGTTGTTACTGCTCACCCCCACTATGACAGGAGCGAGCTTTCAAACCCCATGTGTGGTCCACTATCTTCTTGTTGCTCAGAGCTACTGCGAGAGGGGAGAGAGAACGTATGCAGGCTTGAACCACCAAAGTCTAGTTTGTTTGACTAGCATGATCTATACCAAGGGTCTCCAGACTTTGTAAACAAAAAATGCCAGTTTATAGTCCTTCAGACTTTATGGGGACTGGATTGTGGCCAGTGGGAGTAGAAAATGCCCCAGCGTCAATGGGAGTAAACAGTATCTCAGACTTGGCAATCAGTGGGAGTACAAAATAATCAATGATCGATAGGAGCAGGAATAGTGCTCCATCATTGGTATAAATAAAATAAATGGTGACCTGTTGTTGGTGTCAGTGCGAGTTAAAGTGCCCCATCATTGGTATCAGTGGAAAGAATAGTGCCCCATCATTGGTGTCAATGGGAAGTATAGTTCCCTATCATTGGTGACAGTGCGAGCTAAAGTGTCCCATCATTGGTATCAGTAGAAAGAATAGTGCCACAACATTGATGTCAATGGGAGTTATAGTGCCCCATCATTGGTGTCAATGGGAGGTATAGTGCCCCATCATTGTTGTCAATGGGAAGAATAGTTCCCTATCATTGGTGTCAGTGCAAGTTAAAGTGCCCCATCATTGGTATCAGTGGAAAGAATAGTGCCCCATCATTGGTGTCAATAGGAAGAATAGTTCTCTATCGCTGGTGTCAGTGGGAGGCATAGTGCTTCATCGTTAATGTCAATGCGAAGAATAGTGCCAAATCGGTGCCAATGGAAAGAAATCAGACCCCATCAATGGTGTCGTTTGGAGGAATGTTACCCCTTGTTGTTGGTATCAATGGAAGGAATGGTGCTTCATCTTTGGTGTCAGTAGCAGCAATAGTGCTTTGTATCAATGGAAGAATAATGTCCTAGAGGCCGGACAAAAAAAAAGTAGAGGGCCATATGTGGTCCCTGGACCACAGTTTGCAGTCTGCTGATCTATACATACCATGCTCAGGCATGGTTCAGCATATCCTGTGCTAGCCTAGCTTGAAAGCGTTGGTCTGAGACCTTTGGCCTTGTTGACACAGGCCATTTTAGTCCATGTGAAGGGCTGTGTTTACAGGAACAGGAATGCACAGGTGTTCCATGCATTCCTGTTCCTACAATCCCATAGCTGTCAATAGGGACACAGCAGCTGCACAAACACACAGCCAATGCTCCCAATGTGACATCTGTGTGGGAATGAATAACACCAGTGCACCCGCATGTTGATAAAACATGGCCCTGCACTGGTTAAAAAGCCCAGTGATGTATGATTTTCTTGTGCTGCCCTAGGCCCCCTGCCGCGGTCGCCATCAACCTCCGCCACTTCCAACCTCAACATCTTCCACACCCCCAACTGCACAAGAAGCAGCTTGCCTTCCACACACCCTCCAGAAACACGAAGCCTCCTCACCAGGTCCCCGTCACCTCTGCCACCTCTTCCAGGGGATGGTGCCGCCTCCCTGAAAATTGCAGCTCCAGGCAAATGCCTTGTTTGTCTCGTAGTAGATACACCGCTGAAAACGCCCCATGTGAATGAAGCCCAAGTGTAATCACTAACCTTGCCCGAGCACCAAACACTGAAGCAGATTGGAATATTTCTAAACCTTATGCTGCTACTGTGACGGGAGTCACTTTGGGTGAGGGGCCTACGGAACCCAGCTCATTTTGGAGAGGTGGGGAGACCCCTGTCTCAGCTCCCCATATCCCTCTTATGTGTAAATCACCCTGTGCCTGTTAGGGGTACAGGGTGATCTGTCCTAATATTGTGCGGGCGTTGTCTCAGACTGTGTAGACATGTTTAGGAGATAGATGGGGTGGGGGTTGTTGGTTGTTTAATGTTATATGGCTGCATCCCATTGTTCTATTGTTTGTCTGGCTTGGAAGCAAACTATTATGGGATTATGTGTTTATGTGTATTAGCTTAGTAGGGGGTGTCTCCAGCAGCCCTCCCTCCTGATGGGACTGTCTGCTGGTGTGAAGTTTGAATACCTGTGTGTCTCTTGTTACTAAATGTAGACTGCCCTGCCCTGTGTCATTATGCAGGGAGGGGGGATTGTTCCCTGATTGTATATATCTTGTATCTGTGTTCAAATAAAGTAGTCTTGTATGGTCGACTATGGTGTCTGTTGTTGGTGTCCGGACGGGGAATTCTAACGGAAGTACTCAAGCGCAGCCTGGGTCGGTTCCATTACAGCTACCATTAGTAAATAGATAGGAAAGTAAATCATATTTACTTGCTTTAACCTTTTTTTTTTTTTGCATTCCTTCATTACTTCCTGGTTTCCATGCCTAGGCAAATGATGTCATAGAACCCAGGAGTCTTCAGGAGGGGAGGGAGGGAGTTGAGTTCAGCCAATGCCTGAGCTAAGGGCGTATGGATTCCAGGAAGTAACTGCTACATCATCTGCCCTTACTCAAGATGGCCACTGCCACTGCTAGGGGGTGTTTTTTCAAAATGCATTCTTAGCAAAATAAAGCATGGAGACATGGATGGATGGAGGAGTTTGTTTTGAATATTAATAATGAATTATATTGCATTTTTGGTTTGTGGTACTCAGATGCAGTGCAGTTCTGTTTAACTCAAAAAAGTCCCTTGGATTGCTCTCAACCTCCTCCAGATCCCCAAATACCTTTTTTTTGTGATCCGACTTGCTGTTAGAGGGTGGTTACATTTGTTCTCCATGGTCCCACTGTAGGAACGTAGCCAATCTTGCTTTCTTGCTCCTGGGTTGGACTATGGGATTTGTAGTGTGCATAGACCACATGACCACAAGTAACATGCACTGCTTGTTCCAAACAAAGGGAGTAAGGGGGGGGAAGGAGAGGTTCAGGAGCTCATGTTAGAAAAACACAGTAGGCCTCATGCACACTGCTGCTTCTCACATTTAGGAGCTTTTGGCGTTTTTTTGTCCAAAATGTGGAAATGAACTCAATAAAAGCTTATGTGTCTGTGTACAAATAGGCTTTTACCAGAGTTTAGGAGCAGCAGAATTCAGAGTCAGTTAAACATCCCTCTCCTGAGCCCTGGTTCACACTGATGCGGTGTGGAATTTGCAGCGTTTTCAGTGCGAATTGCGTACTGCATCAGAATCACACCCCATTCACGTGAACCGCTGCGGGTGAGTATGTTAAGTTACCAACACCCTGAAAGTGGCCCCCAAAACACAGTGCGATGTGCAGAATCCGATCGCATAGGTGTAAATACCCATGCGATCCGATTCTGGTGCGGACCCAAAAAAGGGTCCTGCACATTTTTGGTGTGGGTGCAATGTGAATAGAGCAATACAAAATGTATGGCTCCAATCGCACCGCACACAAATCACATGTGATTCGCACAGGAATGCGGTGCAGTTCCTGTGCGAATCACATGCGATATACCGCACCGCACAAGTGTGAACCCGGGCTAAATGCAGAAGAATCGTGTTCAGGAGAGGAATGTTTTGGCAAAAAAGTCAAACACAGTGTGTGTTAATGCACCTAAACGTTAGCCGTATTTAGTGTTTGGGTGTTTACTCATTTCAATGGCAAATACTCTGGCCCAGGGGCGGACTGACAACTCATGGGGCCCCCGGGCAATAGGGGATCATGGGGCCCCTGTGTCCTTGCCCAAACTCAAAAAAGCCTATGAAAAAGGTACCAGGGGCATCTCACGGGGCCCCCTACTGACCCCGGGCCCTCGGGCAGTGCCCGAGTTTCCAAATGGTCAGTCCGCCCCTGCTCTGGCCGATGAGATGAATAAATGTCCAAATGCTAAATGCAGCACCATGTTTACATGCATTTTTGCCACATTTAGTGTTTTTCTGCTGCCAGGAGAGCTAATGTCTAGTGTGCATGAAATACATTATAGGACCATTAGGTAGTGGATGCGTATAAACTATTTTTGGAGAATAGAGATATGGTGTCACTTTAATCATTTTTTCCATTTTAGCATTGTCAGCAATCTTTTATATATTCATTTTTTTTTAGCAGAGGAATGAACATGGAAGCATTGTTGTTGGCATTCTGGATGGATTTTACAGAACTGCTATTATACCGCTGACTGTTCTTTTTTTTTTTCTGTTGCAGTTCAATGTCAAATGAGGACCTGTACCATTTAAAATGGATTGCCGGAATGTTTCTAAAGAGATTGCATTGATAAAGTAATCCACCTTCAAACACAAACCCCACTTAATCAATCAAATATTTAGATTGATTTCATGATAAATGCCGATTTTTTTTCACAGTGCACTTTAGAACTAATTTTCGACATTTGGTTTCATTTCCCTTTCTTCCCTGTTTAAACAATCTCTTTTCTGACACGGAGTGAAAACACGGCCTGTTTATTATTTCAGAGGGAAATGTTTTCTTATTGAGGGGGAAGCCTATAGTACAATATTTGTGAACAGCATGCGTCTATTTAGACTGGTATCGCAATACTTGCATCACCCTAGGATCTATTCCCAAAAGCATTTGTGATAATGAAGACCTGTTATTAATATGCTGGGTCTCCAGTCTAAATAAAGGGTTAGTCCAATGAAAAATAAAGTGTATGTTCAAGCAAAACTTTTTTTTCTTAGTTTTGAATACAGTGAGGAAAGGTCAGAACCTCTTTCAGGTTTTTACTTCTGTTAGGGCTCATTCATGCATGCTTTGGTCTCTGAAGAGCAGTCTCCATTCGGGTTGCTCTTCAAAGAGCTTTTGACAGGCAGTTGTATTGCCTTCTCACTGACAGCTTTAAATCTTTGATTCCTGCACTAACATGGTGCAATCACATGTTGCACGGGGTTGTGGGGCACTTGCAGAGCAGCCCTATTCATTGAGCCGCATTCAACGGAGAAGGGCAGAGGGCAGGGCCGGACTGACCATTTGAAAACTCGGGCACTGCCCAAGGGCCCGGGGTCAGTAGGGGGCCCCATGAGATGCCCCTAGTACCTTTCTCATAGGCTTTTTTGAGTTTGGGCAAGGACACAGGGGCCTCATGATCCCCTATTGTCTGGGGGCCCCATGAATTGTCAGTCCGCCTCTGGCAGAGGGTATATCTCCTGCTGCAGCCACAGAGCATCATTGCATGTTTACTCCAGGGGCGGACTGACAACTCATGGGGGCCCCTGGGCAATCAAACATCATGGGGCCCCTGTGTCCTCCCCACACTCAAACCACACCCAAAAAAGGCTATGAAAAAGCCTATGAAATGTGCTAGGGGCATCTCATGGGGCCCCCTACTGACCCCGGGTCCCCGGCAGTGCCCGAGTGCCCCAATGGTCAGTCCGCCCCTGGTGTACACCCACAGTCTGCAGCTAAAGGGGGAGCACTTGAGGGGGATGGTAAAAACATGACTCAAATGCAAGGTTTTACCCCCCCTCAGCCGCTAGTGTGAATGAGCCCTAGGACAGACTTACTCTCACTTTCTGTCCTGCTGACAACCAGTGTCACCACTAGTGTGAATGAGCCCTAAGAGAGATTTACCCTCACTTCCTGTCCTGCTAACAATATTTTACGAGACAGGAAGCATTTCTCTGTCCCCATCCCTAAGGATTGCAATAGGCAGGGCCTGTGCTTCCACTAGGCAAACTAGGTGGCCGCCTAGGGCGCACTGTCACTTAGGGGCACCTGGGAGCAGCACAGGCCTTCACTTTCTCTGTGTGGGATGCTCTCACGTCATGAATGATCCTTCAGCTAAGAGGAGGGATGGCAGAGGGGAAAAGAAAGGGCAGAGGGGAGGAAGAAAGGGCAGGATGAAAGGGCAGGAAGAAAGGGCAGAGGGGAGGAAGAAAGGGCAAAGGGGAGGAAGAAAGGGCAGAGGAAGATGCTGGATATCTGGGGTCAGTGTTGCAGCTGAGCCAACGCTCCTTCCAGTGCTCCTTTCAGACTCCGTCCCTTACTGAAATCCAGGTGGTGTCTGCTGATCACTGTGGAGATCCAGTCATTAGCAGAGGCAGAGCTGCACCTGTGGAGGAAGGTAATGTCTGACTCTGATGTCTCGTGTCTGTGTGAGTGTGACCTGGCGGATCACCCATCACATGTGCAATGTGTCAGTGAGTGATGACATCATCACGATCCCACAACCTGCTCTTCTAGTGCCTGCTGATCTGTGTCAGTAGATGCAAATGGAGAAACAGAAAAAGGGCGCCCCTGTTCTGGCCAGCTCAGTGGATTGCTTTAAAAAAAGTCCTGGATTCTTTCTTGGATACACAGAATATAACTGGATACTAACATTTATAGGTAAAGTTGATCCAGGGAATATCCGATTGCCTCTCGGGGGGATCAGGAAGGAATATTTTTCCCTGCAGGAGAAAATTGGATCATGCTTTGCTGGGTTTTTTTGCCTTCCTGTGGATCAGCTGTGGGTATAGTATTATAACTTTTTATTTAATGGTTGAACTGGATGGACCTTTGTCTTTTTTCAGCCAGACTAACTATGTAAATACTATGTAAATCTTTTTTAAAAAAAGAGACTCTTCTATTACATATGATTTTGTGCACACTGAAAATAGAAAGCTAACGCTTTGTCTGAGCCTACCTTAAAAAATAACTTAATTAAAACATCAGTGTCCCCAGAGCCCTCTCTCCTTACATCAGAGTCCCCAGGGTCATTCACTTAAATCAGGGTCCTCAGAATTTCCCTAGTTACATTAGGGTCCCAAGAACCCCTCCACTAGTCGTCCCCTTACATCAGGGTCCCTACAGTCCCCAATTTCCCCTTTCATCAGGGTCTCCAGAGTTCCCCCTTTACATCAGGGTCCCCAGTGTCCCCCTTACATCATGGTCGCCAGAGTCACCCCCCTTACATCAGGATCTCTAAAGCCACCCTCCATACAGCAGGGTCCCCAGTGCCACCCCCCCCCCTACATCAAGGTTCCCAGAGCCCCTATCAGGAATCTCGTAGAGCAAGTATGCGCACCCACAAATCTGGTGCCCAGCAGCCTATTTAAATCATTGCTGAATTGTCTTCATCTCTGGTTCCTGCATTCCGAGGTCCTGAAAGTCTGCTAATCTTGTTACTCAGCTGGAAATGCCTGACAGCTGTCTTTGGGTCACCTCTGCCTGTTATGTTCACTGCTCATCTATGCTATCGACCCCGGCTTGGACTTTTGACCATAATTCTGCCTCTTGACTTGCCACCTCACCACCAGCACATTGCTGACTCCTGCCTGTTCCTGACATGGAACTTGATCCTGATTCTCCCCTGTTTGCCTGGCTGCTGCTGAATATAGCTTGCGACCTGACCCCATATTGCCAGCTTCCTGACACCTGCACCTTTCTGCTGCCCTCGCAGTCTTTGTCTCCATTACCAGTGGTGCTTAGACAGGGCTTGCTCAAGATGCCACCTTCATCATCTCGGGCTCCACAGTCTGGCACATGACAGCTCCCTTCTTACATCAGGGTCCCAGAGTCACCCCACTTACATCAGGGTAGTCCCCAAAGACACAATCTTTATATCAGGGTCCCCAGAGTAACCCCTTTATATCTGGGTCCTCAAAGCCTCCATAGCTTACATTAGGATTCCCAGAGTTCCCTCCTTTCATCAGGGTCCCCAGAGCCCCCCCCCCATCCCCCGCAACATTAAAACAGGGTCTCCAGAATTCCCTTACCCCCCTTGCATCATTCTGTTCTCTCAGGTCAGCCTGCAGCTACAGAAGAAAGATGGGCACTGGCAGCAGGTCTGGAGGAGGAAGTTCCATCCTCCTCTGGATTCTGGGAGAGGAGCAAGCATGTCGTTGGTCGCTAGCCAACCACAGTTCCTTTTTATGTTCACAACTGTATGGAACACTAGAGCTGACAGCGGCTGGCAGCCATGGTGGGTGAAACCTGTGTTGCAGTATGAAAACACAGGATATTCTACCCCCTGTGCTGGTGACCCTGACCGATTATAATTATCAGAACTCCAGCCCAGATCCACAGGATGCCAGGATGTAGTTGAGATCTTGAGAAGGTCCTGTGGAAGCCATGACGGTTGGGAGGTATAAGAAGAGGTTGGGTCAGTGCCATGCTGGGGCGGAAAGTGCTATATGATGCTGGAAATCCTCTACTAGATGATGCTGGACATCCTCCAGCCAGGAAATTAAGCCATTTCAGTACAGGAGAGGAACCTGTACAAGAATGAAGGTAAGGTTGAAGTTCAGCTGCAAGATGTTTATAGCATGCCACCCTTTTGATAGAAGGGACCTTAGTAAACAGCGGTAACTTTAGTGACAGCACCAAACAATGCTGACTTTGAGGCTTGGGGTCTTCAATCATTTCAGTATGAGGGCCACATTGAATATTTTACAAATTTACACTACATAATGGTGTGCTGCACTGCAAGTAACTAACTATGAGGAAGGTCTTGTTTGACTGAAACGCGTTAGTGTTGCTCGTCTTCTGGAACTTTTTTTACTCTGTATTCAAATAAAGTCTCTACAATGCATCCTCACCTTGTTTCCAATCCTATATGATTGACTTTAAGACTTGGGGTCTTCAATTTCTTCAGTATGAGGGACACATTTAATATTTTACAAATTTACACTACATAATGGTGTGCTGCACTACAAGTAACTAACTATGAGTAAGGTCTTGTTTGACTGAAACGCGTTAGTGTTGCTCGTCTTCTGGAACATTTTTATACTCTGTATTCAAATAAAGTCTCTACAATTCATCCTCACCTTGTTTTCCCGATCCTATATGATTGACTTAATGATAACTTTAAGACTTGGGGTCTTCAGTCTTTTCAGTATGAGGGCCACATTGAATATTTTACAAATTTTCGTGGGCATTAAAAAAATCAGTTGAATGAACAAATCAAATTTAAATGAATGAATATGTTTATTTGTAATCAGCGTGATATAATTGAGAACAACAGAAAAAAAATTCAGTGCAACAGAAATTCCAAAAAAACTTTAGCCCATCAGAGTGCCCCATATACCGTACATCAAAGTCCACATTAAAGTCCCCCTTACATTGCAAGGAAACATCTTTTACATACCTGAGTCCCACTCCATGTACCTTTTATATAATACACCCCTCTTCTCCTCTTCATATTACTATCCTCTGTTCCCAAATCTCATTTCCTTACCCCTCTGCTCCACCCCAAAACTTGTACATCTACCCCTCATTGCTATCATCTCCCTACTATTGCTTTCATCACCTCCCCAAAATGCCTCTTCCACTCCTCCTTCTCATTTTCCTCTCCTCTGTTCCCAAAATCCATTCACTAAATCCCTCTGCTCCTCCCAAACATTTGTATATTGTGCCCTCACTGCTTCCCTCACCCCTCTATGGCACCCACCACCTCCTCCTATTACTCCACTCTCCCACTGACCCAAACACCTCCACTAGTAGTTTCTCACGCTCCTGCACATCCCGCTCCCATGCCACCTTTCTCACCTTTCTCCTCCTCATAACCGCGGGGGACATCTCCCCGAATTCTGGCCCTCCACCACCTCCCTCACCCGCACAAAACCCTCCCGCCTCCACGTCCTGCCGCAACCCCCGCAACTTAGTATCTGTCCCCCTGCTCCCTAAAATCTCCCCCCCATTTTTTCATGTGCACTCCTGAACGCCCGATCGGTGTGCAACAAGCTTACCGCCATCCACGACCTCTTTGTTTCCCGCTCCCTCAACCTCCTGGCGATTACGGAAACCTGGATCCAGCCCACTGACTCTACCTCCCCTGCTGCACTCTCCTACGGAGGTCTCACCTGGACCCACTCACCCAGGCCCAACGGTCGTAAAGGTGGTGGGGTTGGCCTGCTCCTGTCACCGCTGAGCACCTTCCGAGTCCTCCCAAACCCCCCCTCCCTATCCTTCTCCTCCTTCGAGGCCCACTGCGTCCGACTATTCTCCCCAACCCCCCTGAAGATTGCTGTGATATACTGGCCTCCTGGATCCATACCCCGCTTCCTGGAAGACTTCTCCTCCTGGCTACCCTTCTTCCTCTCCTCTGAGCTACCCACTATCATCCTTGGGGATTTCAACATGCCTGTCAACCTCGACAACCCGGACACAGCCCGTCTCCTCCACTTAACCT